TTTGGGAAAGCAAGGCTATGTGAAATTGAATGGAAAACGTCAGCTCAACTCATATCATTGTGGGAAAATTCTACTACCAGTCCTTCATCACCTTACACTAAATAGGGTGAATACATCTCATTACACTGATTTACTGGTAGTCTCGAAATCCTACTCTTATATCTTTACGAAGTGTTCGATAGATTTTCGCATCTACCGCTAAAATCCACTCTCATTTTCATAAAAAGTGGTGCATCAAGTCCACTTTATTATTATAATAAATGATACATTTAATAGAGAATAGATTTACTGTATTGCCCCATATTGAAGGTGGTCACTACAGATTTATGCGACCAGCAAGGATCTACTTACTGATCCTGCTGCCACTAAAACTACTTTGTAGAATGTATGTAAAAAAACATTTTCAAAATATTTGAAAAATGAAGAAATTTCCTCGATGGCTGCCTCAACAAGAAGGTACCAATAAAGCCAAACGAAGACTTGCTAAGAGAAATTCACATTGGTCTGTTGGTGAGTGCAACAGTACGCCCACTCGCTAAATGCAAGCGAGCTTTAAAGTTGTAAATCGGTTGACTACTTGAAAAGCAAATTTTCTTTTGTATGAACACTAGAACCCAGTTTTAATATCAACACATTCCTTTTTCACCAATGTTACCTGTGTTGCTCACCTTCACTATTCAGCCTAATCTCTATTGAATGTCTCGCTTATGAGAAAAGTTATCTTATAAAGATCTTACAGATAAGACGATTGATGATAAAATAGACGCAATACTTCACTTTTTATGGCTTTAAAAGTAAATTCTAGCCATTAATGAGGAAAAAAATCAAACTGGATTTTTATTTACGACTCAAACTAGCTGATTTCCTCATGTAGCCACCCATTCTCATTGCTTGTAGTCTCAACTATTTTTCAATTCCTCAACTGTCGTGAAGGTCTGCTTTCTCATAAATTGGCCTCAAAACATGTTGTATATGAATTTTGTTTGAAAAGTCCAAAAAGGGCAGGTATGCTTTCTTACTGGCTCGGTCTTAGATTATTGCATTCAGTTGAACCAGTAAATTAATTTTGAGGTAAAGTTTATATTCCCCTTGGGTCAAGAAAGGTGATGCAAAATGAAGGGGAGAGTTGAATTCCTCCACAATGGCACTTTCAACTTTCAAGATACCATTTAATCCCATTTGGGCTTGCGTCCCAAAAGGGATTCTCATCCAGGCTGGAATCGACGGAAGTTCGAACCAAGCTTGAACCGGTCCCATTGGTACCCTTAAAGAAATCATACACTTGTTGTGTAGGTGTTGCGTGTAATTTCGATAAGCTATAACAACGACACACTGCCACGAGAAGCCATTA